ATGATTGCGCTCGAATTTTTTTTGTTTCTGGGAGGGAGCTTCATTTATCGTATCAAGGGGATTTTTTACCTTTAGATTTATTATGAGATTGCTTATTATCTATTGTAGCTATTTCGGTATTCCGACAGTCATCGCGCTAGGAATTTATTGACATCGTCCCTCTTTGAGTCTGGTGACATTTTATTTGAGACAAAATACCCCTAACACTTAAATCTTCCAAAGTAAGGCAAAAAGAACCTATTAATGAAAATTTGAGCCTATTATTCCATTTTATAAATACTTAATTTCTTAAATATATAGGCCTTAGCCATTGACTTTAATTATGAGGTCTCTAAAAGTACCTTGGTTGGCCTTCCAATTTCTTGAGGTGCCAAATTTTATCCTCATCATTTTCATATTTTTCTATCCCAATAAGCTTTTCACAATGAGTTATGTTCTTCTACTTCAAGAAGCTTTCCCTCTTCATTGTGAAAAAGAAAAACCATGTGGCCCTTTCAAATCGGCTAGGATTTCATCTAGCATGACCTCCACTCATCCATGATGGACTAGCAATTCCCTGGCCTTAAGCACTTCTTTTGGTCAATCAACAATGATCACTCTCCTCGCTCTAGTTGGTGGATGTGAGGGTTACGTGAAGGAATCCTCTCATATTGATCTAGTGTTGGGGGCTGAGACTTACTGATTACCTCTTGTTATTTTGAAACCAACTTGTCTATCACTGATAAATTGATTTTACAAAATCCAAACACCTATGAATCATATAATAAATTTGAAAAAAATAAGATGAAATCAAGAGAGTAAAATAGAAAATCTAAAGACATAATCGCACTACAAATAATAATCCAATCATCATGAACATACAAATATATGTGGATCACCATAATCGGGCTACATCAAAGGGCAAGTAGCAAGGAAACAATTTCATAATCATGGAAGAGTAAAAAAAATTTGGATAAATATATGGGTTACCTCACAATCGGTAAAGCAGCACCAATTTCCCTTTCCACTACCACAAAAGAAACATAGATATAACCTTCATTATTGATTCTATCTCCATGGATCAGCCTACAATAAAAAATACAGATGAAATCACCTGAAATAGGCGTAATTATAGCTAAGGTTTTTCCCAAAATTCCCATTATCTACCTCACAAGTATTGTCCCTCACAAAATCAACTCTCTCTACACAATTGCTTATAAAGCCCCCACTTAAAGTGATTTTTCACAACGACCGAAACTACCCATGAAAATGAGAAAACCCATTATGGGTGATTTGGGATCACCAATCCAGTCATTACAAACCGTATATGGTAATTCTTTGGTTGAAAAAACTAAATACTCTCTAGATGAATAACCTTTATGAGATACCTTGCTAATCTTCCTTCATGTGTGTGCGTCTCACATAAACTCTACCTTATTCAACACTCTCATCCTTGAGTTCTTGAGGCAATCCCGCCCACATTTACATATGCTCTAAATAAGACACTTCCCACACACCTACAAGCACAAGCGGTGTTTGATCACTTGTCATTGAGACCTTTTGTATAAATTGTTACCACAAAGCTTTTTATGTTCATATCCTTGGCACCGTTTGCCCATACTTCTCAAATTTAAAAATATCCATTTCACTCCATTCCAAAAAAAAAATCCACGACTAAACACAAGTCAATCAAGAAAACAATAAACAAGTGAAGTAACAAATTTTACATAAATCATGGTAATTAAAGTTAATGCTAGAGTAGCATTCAATACTCTAATCAGCCCTTCCTTTAAAATTTTGAACATTGGTATGAAGAAAATTTAGGACGTGCTTCTGGCTTCACTTCCTCTTGAGAAGCTCCCAAAGCCTCACTTTCTCTACCTCGCCAAATATTACTACTATGACTTTGCTTTGTATTACCAATATCTTCCATGACCAAAACATGACCCCTTGTCGAGCTTCTTCTTCCTCTACAACCAAAATTATCCCTTTATTTATAATTGTGCTCCCTAACAATTTATTCATGTTTTCTTCTCAAACACCTTTGTCATAATTTGGATCCTTTTAAAACTTTGAGCATTCCACCTTGCTCGGTAAATTTAGAGCCTTCCATATCTAAATAAGAAAGTGAAAACAAGCTCTTTTTCAAATCCAACACGTCTCACATTTTCAAGAGTCCGAACCATATCACCATTCATTTTTATGCAAACTGAGCTCATTGCAATTGTTGTACTCATCAAATTATTTCTCATTGATGACAAACTGCTCTCACATGTCTCATATGCATCAAATTATGATCTATGGGGGCACATATAATGTGTTACCCCATTATCAAAGACCTAACTTTAATAATACATGTATTGCATCCCACCATCAATTCCCATTCTTCAATATAGCAGGATGTTAATTCTTTAACTTGACGAGCATCCTTCTTGGGTTCTCCACTCTAGAACCAGAAGCCTTGGAGGAATCTACCCCTTTCCTTTTCCAACAATTATTCTTTATGTGGCTGGGGTTGCAACATAATTAATAACCATTTTTTCAATAGGACATTATCAACTTTGATCAACTACTTGAGTAATCACTTGATGAACTACCCTATTCATCCAATATGCCTCTTGCTAGAAGAACATCTATTCTTGAACCTTTGTAAATATCTATTGACCACTTCTTCTGAAGCTCATGGCAATAAGTGCACTAAAAACCGAATCTAATTTGAGGGATTATTCTTTGTTATAATTCAAGGTTGTAACAAGATTGGCATCAGACTCTAATAACAAACATAGCAACATCACGGCCTTATCTTCCTTGTCCATCTTCACCTCAACACTATATGTTCATAATTTATGTTGTTGAGTTTATTCAAATGCTCTAACAATTTCATACCATCTCTCATCCTCAAATGATACAATTTTATTTTTAAAGGAAATTCCATTCTTTGATGGACTTTGTCTGGTACAAGCTTTGTAGCTTTGCCTGTCAATATGCTATTGTCCTTTATTCTACTATATTAAACAGTATTTCACTTGCGAAACACAAGTGAATTGTGACGAGCACCTTCCTATCTAATTCTTCCAAATTTTCATCTTTCATACTTTCTGGTTTCTTAGATTTTCCTTGCAGTACTTTATAAATACTTTATTGTACTAATATATATCATGAATTTTTATTTTTCAAATTTGAAAAATCATTATTCCCATCAAACTTCTCTACTTCAAATTTGTAACTAGCCATTTTCCCAAATTACTACACACTTCCCTTGTACTTTGGTACCACATGTTGGGAACTGAGACTTGCTCAATCGTCCATTGTTGTAGTGATATCCTCCACTACAACAAATCTAATATCTTGAAACCAACCTGCCTATCATTGACAAATTGATTCCAAGAAATTCAAATACCGTATATTGTGTAATAAGATGAAATCAAGAGAAAGTAAAACAGAAAATCCAATGGCACAACCCCGTACTATAAACAATAATCAAATTACCATCAACACAAATACAATTATGCATGGTTCACCCTAATCTGGTTATATTCGTGGGCAACTGGCAAGGAAATATCTCATTATAATGACAAAATTGCAAGATTTGGATAAATACATGGAGTACCTCATAATCAACAAAGTATCACCCATTTTCTTTTACACTCCATGGATTTGCCTACAAAATAAAATGCCGATGAACCACCCGAAATGAGGCACAATGGTAGTAAGGTTTTTTTTTTTTCCTAAAATCCCTAATCTCTCCCTCACAAAATCTACTTTCTCTATGTAATGGTTTATAAAGCTCCCATTTAAGAGTGGGTTTTCAGGATGACCAGGTGATTTTGGATCACCAACCAACATCATGATCCTCCAAGAAAAAGAAATGGGATTACTCCCCAAAGGGTGGGGTTTTGGTGTGGGTGTGTCTATGTAGTCCCATTAAGAAGTTTATATTAGAGCTGACTTTTGGATCTAAAATTTCATAGGTTAATAATATCGACGTAAATCTAAATGGATGGATTTTAGACCTTTAAAATAATTTATTTTTAACTTGTTTTTTAATCATTCATTTTATTTTTTACAAATTTTATTTTTTGCAATATTTTTTGATGTGTAGAATCATGGATATTAACAAATGCATATGGAGTGAATCTACGTATGTTTCGTATTCTTGATCCGATTCTCTAAATTAGATTTTTGGAAATAGATTGTATTTGAATAAGTAGAATGCAAAATAAACACTTTCTTAGAAAAACAAGAAAGGGAGAATTTAATACCTCATATCTTTTGATTTAATTCCAAAATATATATAAAAATGGAAATTTTTATATGTACTGGCACACAAACGTCCATCTTTAAGATGAATATTTTATAAAATGCACAGGACTAAAATATCATATCGATGGTGCAAAAAAACCCTTAAAAATCATATTAAATTAAAAATAATTATTTTTTATATTCATAATTACCATGCCTTTGATTATGAGTCCCTAAAAGTTTGATTGGGAAATCCATCTAAGATGGATTTGAAAAGAAAGAACATATGTACATTATGAATCGACTAACGCGTAGAAACCCATCCATAAAAATACATAATAATAAATGAATAAAATATCAAACACTTTGTATCTAAGGATATTTTGATAAATTTCCCAATTTGAAATAAGGGTGAGGTTTGTATAATATTGATATTTAAAAATGATACAGATTAAGCCGATCAAGAAACACTAGAAAATCTTGAAAATAAAAAGTTCAAATAAGTTATTACAAAATATACAATTTTTTGGATTTGGAATTTTTTTTAACTTCATATCCGTTCATCTCAAGGTGGAGATGATCAATTAGAGGATTCTCTTGTGCCGGAACACTCTCAAATGTAGGATTTTTGAGGTGTACCATACTAATAGTGTAAAGTTGCAACCTTATATAAACTTTTTTCTTAGAAATAATTTAAAAAGAGAACCGTGAAGGGACATAAAGCAAGGAGCAGGCACCGTCAGGTTCGTGGTTGCAGAGTGGGCATATTTGAAACACAGGCGGGAACGGCCTCGGGCTTTAAAAAGAGGCCTTTGTCGCTCTTGGTCCTCATTTCCATTTTATTCGACTCTAAAGCCCCAGCTCTCTCCTCTCCCCTTTCTCTCTCTTCAAATGGAGCGGAGAACCCCTCGGAGTCTTAACCAGCGGAACGCCCAACTCCTTGAAGACCTAGCAAACAAGACCTCTGGCATACCACCCACTTCAGAGAAAGCCAATGCTCTGCACTGTGGTCATGTTTTTTCTTTTTCTCCCTCATTTCCCTTCTCGATTTGCTTTCGCTTAGCCTTGTATTTAAAAACTCTCCTTCTATTGAGAAAAATTGATTTGTTTTGTTGCAGGGGAAATGGTGAACAAGGTTAAACTGAAAGGGAGGCGTCGCCTCTGCAAACTCTCATCAAGGGATGAGAACTCAGATTCTTATGGGGAAAACACGGTATCAGAAGATGCTACCTCTTCCGCTATTGATGAACCTTCTGATATCAGATCCATTCTCAATGATCTGAGCTCGAAACTGGACTCTCTATCCATTGAGAAGTCATCTATGTACTTGAAGAAGCAATATAAAAGTGATTCCCTGGGACTTATCAACATATATGATAGTCCTGAGAGTGGTTCCTTACAATCAGAAAATGATCGGTCAGTTAAGGATGCAGCAGTTGAACCCAGCTCCACAAATCATACCGATCGAAAGTTACCTGCAACAAAAACGGGCAAACGAGTGGATTTGGATGGAGGTTTCAGTTTTTCTTTAGTTTCAGATGACGATCAACCAACACAAGGACGTGGTCACAATGATGAAGATGATGATGGTGATTCCTTTCGCTCTACCACTTCATCCCCTCTCCTTGATCAAGTGGGTTCCAGTTCATCAGGGGATGCGAGCAAAAGCTCAGCTTCAGAGTCTATCCTGGTTAATCTCTCTGACGATGATGAAGATGAAGAATATTATAGGTGCAGGTCAGCTGAATCTCAATTTGAGGACCCTGTTGAAGATGCAGAGCCTGTCATGTTTAGTAATGGCTCCGAGACTTGTAAACTCAGTGGAAATATTGCAAAGATGCTATACCCACATCAGCGCGATGGTCTGAAATGGTTGTGGTCACTTCACTGCAAGAAGACAGGGGGAATTTTGGGTGATGACATGGGCTTGGGGAAGACAATGCAGGTCTTCTTATAGAACTTCTGCTAAAAATTGTGGATATTTCTCATCTTATTTCTTGCCATGTTGTAAGCACATTTTCCTGTTTTGTTGTGAAATTGGATTGATTCGCTGTTGTTTGGACATTGTATGTGTTTTATTATATGATTTAGCAATTTAGAGTTGAAAATGTATCCATTAAGCATGTCAGTGACAAGTAGTCTGTGCTTGATGTCCTTGGAGGAAAAAAAAATACCAAAAAATTTAGAAAACAAGAAAGAGTGTAACTAGTAAACTAACATAGCTGAATAGAACAGAATATAGTACATTGCTAGTGGTATCTAGGACAACATGGTTGCATAACTAGTAAGTTGATATCATATTGGGTGTAATGATGAGTAATTATTCAACAGATCAGTGTCATTGAATAATTATTCAACAGATTAGTATCATTAATATTTAATGTTGAGATGTATTATGTACAGGTTATGATGATGATGATGATGTATTATGTACCGTACCATGAAACCTTATTTGCATATGTATTTACCTTACGTAAATGTGCAATTGCAGTCACAAATTTCTTATTTATGCCTATTTCCAAAAGAAAAGAATTTCCCAAACATCTTTGCTGTAATTGTTCATTCGACACCTATCATTATGCAGACCAACTAGCCTTTTCCATAGAAAAACTTAAGAAAGTAACGAATTATGATTTAACACTTAATAATATGTGAAGAATGTAACTCTTACTCTGTTAACTCTTATTCATATACAAATGTCAGTCCTGATGGTAAAACATATAGAAGTGGAACTGTACCTAAATATTATAAAATGAAAAAACTAATTACTTGTAAATTTTGCTATTCTATTTTTCACAATATATAAGCAATCTGCTCTCTGAAACTATCATGGACTTGTGTTTCCAGGTAGCTGCCTTTTTGTCTGGATTGTTTGCATCGAGCTTGATTAAACGTGTGTTGATTGTGTCTCCCAAAACCCTTCTTCAACACTGGATCAGAGAATTATCAACGGTGGGACTTTCTGGAAGGATTAGAGAGTAAGTGCAATTTATGGCCGTGTATTTGTTACACACCTCAGTGGCTTATAAGAACCAATTAATGCACACATTTGGTGTTTGTGTCTAGGTACTTTGGAAGTTCTACAAGTTCTCGTCAATATGAACTTAAATACATACTTCAGGTTTGTATTTTCTTTCCACTGCATGATGGTCTCGAAGGGTTAATTTCCAGAAATATGGTATTTGTTGCCTGTCAACCAAGTGCTTAAATCTTCATGTTGCTGAGGAATTAAGCCAATTTGTAATCTATTAGATTATGATTATTCTTGTTTTTATTCTTCTTCGGCCTTGATGTGTCTTTCATTTCTCTCCCTCTGTCTCTCATTCTTCCCCCTCCCTTTTCTGTTTGTTATCTTTTTAAAACTAGAAAATCTTCTTTAGATGTGGGCCTCTAATATTTATTTTGTTCTAGTAGGTTGGAGGCATTCTTCTCACGACTTATGATATTGTTAGAAACAATTCAAAATCGTTAAAAGGTGATTATTACCAAATTGACAATCACGACGAAGAGGATGGAAGCACCTGGGATTATGTAATACTTGATGAGGTTGGTTTTTATTTTGATGTATGATCATTGTTTTTCATGTGCATGTCTAATGCATTGAGTGATTTACCATATTTTGGGATGTTTACATCATATTGGGGAGTTATTGTGTGGGTTATTCATCTTACTTTACATGCAAAAGAGTTTTGTCTGATCAATATGAAAGATAAATTCATTTTTTCTGCCTTAGATTTTATTGTAAATGAAGATGCGGCAGTAATTGTGATATTGCATAAATTTACTCAATTATGGATTGTAAAATTGTTATCTTTATGTCACTTCTACTAGTCATGGAACAATTGATTTCATTGTAATAATAAGGACAAAAAAGACCCCTCTATAAGGGACTTTTGTTTGCTTCTTTATTGAGCCCATTATTACTAGCATGTGTTTATGACCAATGTTCACAAATTTGGATGTGGGTACCTAGGCGGGCAGGTGGCTGTCTAGAAACCTAGATGGCCCAAACAGAAATCAAGGGGTTTTAGGCCCTCTAGGGCATTTATAAGGGCTTGGATTGGATCCCTAAACCCTTATGTGTGCGTGCGTGCTTGTGTGCGTGCGTGCATGCATGCATGCGCACGTGTGTATTTATATAATTTCAATTTTCAGGGGTTCGGTGTGTTATTTTATTGTGCTATTTCAAATTTATCTATGAATTGGATTGAAGCTTGAAAATTGAAATGCTAATTTATATGGTTGAAAGTTGCCCAGCATCCATACACAGTTGCATGGTCATTACTCATCAAATGCCAATATGCCATACCTCCATAATCAACAATCTACACCAATTTTAGGCACTAGCAACACAAAATCAACCCATGAATCACAAGTTACAACTAAAAAAAAAAAATAAATAAAAATAAATCAAAATACGCAAAGCATGCAAAATATGAACTGACAGCAAAACTCAAAATACATAAATCAACAAGGCTCAAGACATGACGTAATATCTATTGAAATCAAATTAGCAATTGAGTTTCATCATCACTACCAAAAGCATCTCCACCGCCATTAGATGCATCTGAATTCGATGATGATGATATGCCATCATCATCAGAGTCATTCCCCTCCCTATCTCTCTCCCCCCTGCCTTTTTTTTTTCTCAAAAAAAAGGGAAAAGAAAAGATAAAAATTGAATAAAAAGGAAGAAAAGAGAAAAAAAAAAGAAAAAAAGAAAAAAAAGAAGAAACTGAAAAGAAAAAAGAGAAAATATAGAAGTCTGCTTATGCTTTTAATCCGTTTGGCTACAGTTTCTCTCTCTATCTCCACCTCCCCCCTCCTTTGATTTCTTATCTACCCTCTTACGCTTTCTCCCATTGTCAACCCCCCTGCTCTTTAACCTATCTCTCTCTCTATCTCCTCCTTGTGTACTATTTTAACCTCCCTCTCTCTTTCTCTCTATCATACTCTCTTCTCTCACCCTTGCTCTATCTGTTCTTTTCTTCTCGAACCCTCTATTCATAGTTTCTTCTTTGTAACTATCTTTCTACCTCCATCACACTCTATCATATTTTCTTGAAGGCCTCTCACTCTTTTCTTCTCACTCCTTTTGTCTCTTCTTTTCAGATTCCCCCACTATCTCCCACCAAGCTTGTTGTTACCATGAATTTACACTTGCCCCTCACACTCTTATTCTGCAAAGGTCTTTGGGACAGTTCCTACCCCTGCTAACAGGGGTGTTCCTACAGGCCCTGCCAAATGGGGTGAAGGGGTAGTTTGTGCGCATTGTAGAACGGTTTTCCTTTTGGCCCTTGCAAGTTGGGGTTGAAGGGCCAGCACATGCACTATTTTTTTGTTGATGGAGCCCCATCTTTGTGACGACCTGACTTGACAACAGGGCTCTCCTTGTGGCCTCTCGCATTCTGGATCCAAGGATCAGTCTACACTCATTTTTTGGCAACTGTATTATATCCAACCTTGTGGACGTCTTTTGCGGACTCTCAAATTCGATGATGCTCCAATTTTTTGATGACTTTTTTAGATATTCTGCTGTTTGTCATTATGTATTTTATTTTTCTTTTCTACTTTTGCTTCTTCTCTTTCCTTCCTTGTAATCTGCGCACCCTTTTGCGGGCAGCCAATTTTTACCATGTCGGTGGATATGTAACTACTCTTTTTTATATACAAGTCCAACATTAAAAGAAATCAGAGTCATCCCCCTCGACATGTTCCTCGTCATCCTCAGTCTCTTCCGAGTCATCTTCCTCCTCTCACCCTCAACCTCTTCTTTTGTGATTGAGATCTAGTGCTCCACATAGGGCTCAATGGTGTTCTAGAACCCTTAGGAAAATTGATCTAGGTCAAGCCATATTAAGGAATATCTCCTCATCCTCAGCATGAACCAATTACTCAATACTATCATCTACATTTGCAACAACAAGGGCCACTCCTTTAGCTTTTGCTTATACGGACAACGTCTTTCAGTCTCTTTTGGTTAAATTTGTTTCTCTTCTTTGTATCAATATTAGATAATGTGTGAAGAACAATTAAAAGTTTGAAAACATAATACATGTTAGGGGTGAGATAGTAATTATTGTTGAGTAATAAGTAATACTAGTAACCAACAAGTTAGGGGATAGTTAAATAATTATCATTTCAAGTGTGTTGAAGTCCATAAGTCAAATTCAATATGCCCATAACCATCAGCTTTAATAAATGAATAAGTTCTAAACTTACCAAGAGCGATCTTGGTCCTTTGCCTTATTGCCACGTCCGTCATAAGAGATCTCACTGAGAATCTATACTTTTTCAAGCCCATCGGCACTTTGTCTTGCACATTTGATTTAGGGTCGAGTTTAATGTTGCATTGGTTTATTGCATCTATGAAACTCACTCCTGTTGTCTCACAATCAATGTAGAAATGAGCAGGTTTGAGATAATACCTTGCTTGTTATAGGTTCCTCACAAGGTGTGAGTTCCACTTCTTTTCTATAACTTTTTTTAAAAAGGAGCCTATTTAGCTTCATCATTGCCAAAGCTTTTCTTGATTTCATCCTTCACAAACTTGCCCCCTTTTTCTTTGGGAGTTAAATCCTTGTAACCTCCATTGCTTTATAACTGTGACCAATTGCCAATATCTTCTGACCATCCCCCAATGTCTTCACCATTGGACCAAAAGCACTTATGAAAACCAAACCCTATCCCAAAAATGAGAGTCTCAAACATGCTAACTCCTACTTTCGTCTCTGCCCTCTTGGACCACTTACTTATGGTCTAATCTTTTGAGACATGCATGGCCTTGAGCCTTTTCTTTCTGTTCCAATATTGACTGCAAAGACAAATATGAGTTGGCAAATCTAGTCACCCCAGACTTTACCAGCTCTTTATTATTTGTGTACTTCCACATCATGGCTAAGACCTGGTCCATTGAGAACATGCATCATGTGAACACAAGTATTTTAACAAGTCAATTACTTGAGATTAAACGTAGATCTTTATAAGCTACAAGTCTAACATAGGTACACAACTCCTATTTATTCAAAACAAACAACTCATAATGGAAAATTCTCGAACGTACTTCGATGTGGCTATATATATATATATATATAAATTGTGATGGTCTTTGCTTTCTTCAATGTTGTTGTCACCACCTTCGTCTTGCAAATAGCCTCAACCATGAGGTATATGCATTGCAGTTGCTCAAGGCAACCAAAAAACATGCAACCTCTTCACCATCAATAAGCTAAACATCGCCGCATCGGTAACTACTTGGACCAAATGATCCTCCTCCACCTTCTTTATATACTGGTCCTCCAACTCAGAAATGAATCTCAAATTATGGGTATGTCAGATGCTTAAGTGGACCTTAAGTACATTATTCTGAATGGACATTCTTCATCAAGTTCATAATACTTATGCATCCATCCATCAATCATGATTGTGGCCCCATATCTCCCCTATGCATCATTGGGGTACTTCAAAAAATTATTTGTGAGCTCTACCTCCTTTCTAGGCAATGGCTTCTTGAACTCATAACCTGTAGGGGCCTTATGCCTTTCCCCATATTGACTCACTGCTTCCAACATGGTTGGAAGCCCTTGAAGTTAGCGGTATTGAAGGGAATATCTGCTTGATAGAACCATCTAGGTTTCTAGCTACATATTGAGACACCTTAGTGGTATCTTCTTTCTTAAGTTTCTCTCTATAATTGTTTGCCCTTTTTTTTTTTTTTCTGTTAGGGGGTGGGGGTCGAAAGAAAGAATCTATAGGCCCCCTTTCTAAAGGTCTATTTTGCCCAAACCCCATCGACCTCTACTAGAACACCCATCCCCGGCGTATACATATCTTTTTTTTCTTCTTCTTCTTCTTCTTCTTGAACTTTATATATTTCAATGCTCCTCACAAGATCACGATGTTGTTTCTTCTCATCCTCTTTCTTTATTTTAATCCCATGCAAGTGCTCTAACATCTCTCTCCTAACCTCATATGGCACTTGAATTAATTGGGGCCATACCCCTCTACTGACGGCGAAATATTTCTTTAGTTTATTAATACCGGCATTATAAGGCTCTTTTTGGAATTTGTGCTCCTACCCTATTCTTCTTGTTTGGATTTGGATAAGAACCATATTTCCACCCCTCCTTAACTTGCCAACTTCAACCATTTGAAAGTTTTGATTTGTCACGATTGACAAAACCCATCGTATTACTTAATCAATTTTCACTTGATAAATTTGCAAAATCAAAGTATTGAATGAAGTAACCTAATTTAAGCCTAGGTCAATGCAATACCTAAATCAATTTCTAGTATTAAATATACAACAACATAAGTTCACTACAAAAGTATGCAAATACCCAATTACTCGATTTTTGATGTGAGGCACTAAGCATAAAGCAATCTAACCAGATAAATGGAAGAGATGTTTATTAATTTACAAAACAATATTCTGAAGTATTCATACAAGTAAAACAACTCAATCACAATTTATTTAGTTTTTTTCAAAAAACAAGTTGTTCCTAGGATGAGACAAATCATACTTTAGTATGGAATCAATAGATTTACCCAACTATGTAAATTAAAAATCACAAACGCCAATGCTCGTATAAAAAATTACAGGGACATCACCAATAATATCCATTTGGTTTGAGATTCATGATTTGTTCTTAAGATTAGGAAACCCAATCTTAAAAAAATAACCCAATCTTAAGAAAATTTCAAAAAACTCACACCAAAACTTACTATTGAATATGGGCCAATAATCGAAAGCCAAACTTGTAAAAATCCCTAAAACAAAAAACCAAAAGCGAAATAAGAACACGTCATAACCCTTTTTACGCAAAAAGTCAGCAAACCTTAATTTAATATTGTAATACGCTAACCTTTCCAAAATCAGATCAATATGGGCTTGAATTGGTGATCTTCGGTTGCCAAAAGTCCTCTTTTGCAACCACTCGAAGCCCCAAAAAGTATTTGGTTGATTAACTTTCAATTTTGCCCAAAAAGTATTTGGTTAAAAAAGCGGACCGCCCAGCGCCTGGGCGGCTGCCTAGGCGGTTCAGAAGGGCTGGGTGCATCGCCCAGGCCTAGGCGTCAGAAAGAGGAGGAAATCCTTGAGTGCCCAGGAACTTGCCTGGGCGGCAGTCCAGGGCCTGTATCCCGCCCAGAGGCAGAATACCTACTCGATAGGGGCATTTTGTGTCATTTTTTTGATACAAAAGGCCCAAAAATTGTGGGTTTTAGGTTCATTTGAAACCTATAACCCATTAGAGCCCATTTTTGAGAGAGAAAACCCTAAAAAACTAGTTTTTGGTGATTTCTGTAGGATCTAACTGTTTCTCAAAGTTATGAGAAATTGATCAAAACATCACCCATTGATATTAGATTTAATTTTGTATGTTTTATAAATCTATTAGAGGGTTTTTAGAAGATTTTTTGAGTCATCTTAGAGGTGGAAGTTTGGAGATCGAGCAATCAAAGTAAGTGATTTTTTTTGATTGCTGGTATAAGTTGGACTTATGATTATGCTTATGGAGTGTGTGCTCTTATGTGTTGTGTAGTATACTTTTGAATTTTGATGTGCCCGAAATCCCTAATGCTTATATATTATACAATATATAATTATACTTATACTGTTATAGACTATAGAGACATTTTTTTTCTACTATGCTTTCCAGGTTCTGGGCGCCCGCCTAGGCCCTGGGTAACCTGGACCCTTCAGGCCATCTAGGACCCACCTAACACTTTTTGAAATATTGGTTTTGGGGAAATATCATTTTTCCCTTGGTCGATGGCCTTTTTCCACCTTAGCCAAGGGCTTTGAGGCGCCACCTAGGCACCTAAGCAGCACCTTTGGCACTTGGGAACATGGCCTAGAAGGTGATATTATTTTTTCATTTCGTAATTGAACTGTGGTGGGTTTGATGGTCTTCTATTTTCCAGAAGTACTAGTTTGTTCACGTTTCTTGGATTCTTGTGGCTTGGCTTCAACATAGACATTGGGGGTTTTCTTATTCTGTTCATATTATATTTGGATGAGAGGTTGTAAGTAGAAGAATTGGGATTTTTATTGGCGAGAGATGCATGAGGGAAAATGATTTATGAAATAATTGGAGTTTCAAAGAAGTTTCTTAATTTCATTTAGAAAAATTTAAATTTCTTGCTTTTTCCCCTTCGGAACGCATGTACTTTGTTCGATCTAGAAAGTTAAATGTTGTCTGTTTTCTTTAATATTTTTTTTATAGCCTTTTATTGTTTGCATGGATTAGAATTTTGATATTCTTCGTATGTTCTTTTCTCATATAGGGTCATATCATAAAGAACCCAAGTACTCAAAGGGCAAAAAGTTTGCTTGAGATACCATGTGCTCATCGCATTATTATTAGCGGGACACCTATACAAAACAACTTGAAGGTCAATCTACATCTTTTTGTATCGTTTTTATGGTGTTTATTATTATTATTATTATCATTATTTGCTGCTATAGTTATGACTATTATTATATGTCATATTTATCAATCTTCTTGCTTCCTTTGGTTGTGAGTTAGATGTTTCAATGGCTAATAAGTGTCTTTCTTTGTATAGGAACTTTGGGCCTTGTTCAACTTTTGTTGCCCTGAAATTTTGGGTGACAAGAAAGAGTAAGAACTGTAGTTTAATTCTCATCATTGTCATCTTCAATATGTGTTGTTCATTGTTAACTCACAATTTACTTCAGGTTTAAAGAAAGATATGAGTATGCCATACTCCGTGGAAATGAAAAAAATGCTTCCGACCGTGAAAAACAAATTGGTTCCACAGTTGCAAGGGTATTCTTTTATTTTGAATGTTTTTTATTGATATTGTTTTATTGGAAGATTTAGTGATTGGTTCATGATATTTAAAATTGAAAATCATGATGTGAGTTTTGATCATTTTGTTGGTGTTACTTGTAAATGGAGATATCTAAAATAAGAAATTTTGCCTCTCGTATGGGCATGTAGTGTACCAATAATGTGAAGTAGCATTTAACATTTCCCAAAGGCATTTCCAGTTAGAAATATATTTCAAGTTTAGATGGAACCATTTATACTAGTTGCCTTCTTACTTATTAACTTAAAAACATAGCTAAAATTGAAGAGGAAAATAGTGAAGTATAAATTAATTAGAATAAATAGTTATGATGTAAAAGTGATTGGAATAAACCATAGTGACCAGGATCTTTTGAGGAGGGAGTCACTTATGCTCCGAAATCCAAGACACGGATCTCGATTCCGGGTGATTCTTTGATATTTAGAATCTCGATCTGGGAAATTAAGGAACTCGATCTCAGTTAATTGGATCCAGATCCCTATGTCAAAAATCATGGGTCTATAAGTAAGCGGAATCACGATTCCACCAACTTGGAATCAAGTGTCCTGTACATCTGAGCAAGTTTCACCGGCATATTTTTTGGCATATACAATGTAGTGTGGATATCCAATTTTTTATAGCCTACAAACTTTCAGAATGCCATGATTTCGTACATATTTTACAATTCATAACTTTACACACCTGGTGAATTGTGACTCATATCTAATCTCAAAGAAAGGAAAAGCGAGGTAAGGAGAGAGAAGTAAGAAGATAGGAGATACAAAAGTTAGTCACGTTATGGTTCTATTGAGAAATGTCAATACGCTTAACTTCCTTGGGGCTAGTTCATTGTGTCCTTTCCTCATTCTGAAGGACTTCTATATCTTTGCTCGAGTGTTGGTCAACCAAATCGAGCCATGGTCGCCTTATGGGTGATGGAATTACATGTATACGTGAAAATGTGAGGTCTCTCTTGTGTATATATTTTTGAGCCCCTATCAATCTTTGACAGAGAAGAGCTATTGGGAATTGTATATGGCAATGTCTTTCCTTTTTTCTTGCTTTCCAAAAATGAGGACATATGCGTTGTAGGCAAACCAATCTTGGTAGGTGTGCAAATTTTGTAGACCCACATTATTAATCTTTTATAGTGATTCTTGCTTAAGTAACAATTTTTATCACCCTTCATTCCCACCGTTAACATGTGATCAAGGACTTCGGTATTCCGTCACCATATTGAATTTTTATTATCGCTACTTGTGTTAAATCATATTCCAATGACAACAAAATGTCAAAGAGAATTTCAATGACATGATTTTTGTTTACATTGATACTTGAGTTTGCGAATTTGGAAAAAGTTGAACATATTGTTCAATGGAATTCACCCCCAAATTACAATAGAGTTAATAAGTGAACTTTGGGACCTCGATCCTTATCACGAAGGAATGCTTTCCCTTTTAGTAAAGCATAAACACTTGTGCAGATGTGGAACACGCTCCCTAAAAGTCAGAGATCTTGATCTCTTTACCTGGCCATGACGGACCTTGTTCTTCTGGCCACAAATTTTTGAGCTTACCTTGATCCGCACTCCCACGCCCAATCTCGGAGCTCTTGTCACTCCCGTTCTTGGTAACTTTGATGTGCTTGAAATCCTCATAATTATGTAAACATACTATAATATCCTTAGTCTCTGTTCCCAATAACAATGTTCAAAAAGGCGGAGGCGGCCAAGGTTCCTAATCACCGAGACGACTGGGTGAATCTATCGAAAAAGGTTGTTTTAATGTTGAAAAACCCTCTAATTGATCATCTTGACATAGAGATGGATGAATATAAAAAAAAAGCTTTTGAGTCTCAGAAATAGCGCATCTTGCAACACATTATCTACACCGTTCATTTCCAAGATTTTCATATATTTATAAATCTACTTGATTTAACTATTTCTGGAGTATAAATTTTGTAATTAAATATGAAAATAGATGTTAAGATAATCCTAAGAAGTTTTACACCAAAATTACATGCTATGGTAAAATTTGGAGGCACGCCTTAATTTGATCGTTTAAGTTTACAACCTTATAGAAACCACACCCATATATATATATATATATATATATATATAGAGAGAGAGAGAGAGAGAGAGAGAGAGAGAGAGAGAGAGAGAGAGAGAGAGAGAGAGAGAGAGAGAGAGAGAGAGAGAGTAGAGTAGAGTAGACGTACGTAGTACGTAGTACGTACGTAGTACGTAGTACGTACGTAGTACGTAGTACGTAGTACG